ATATATATAAATATATATATATATACAGTAGAGCATCAATTGGGTACTCACGTTGGTCGGATAACTGAAAAACTCGGATAACCGAAAAAAATGAAAAAAAAATACATTATTAATATGGTATATTAGTATATCTTATGTAATTAGTATATTAGTATATCGCTATTAACCAACTTTGTGTTTAAATTACATCGATGTTAAGCCTAACAAAATGTTTTTAAAAATAATAATCGTTGCTATTGAATCGTTAAAAATTAATTTTAAATTATTTTATTGCTCACAAAACAAACAACTATTCATAATTAGAAAATTAAGTCTCGTATAAATACTGGCTTCCTTTCAATGGTCGAGCCGTGTTGCCAGCTAAAACACGCAAAAATTTAACAAAAATAATATTAAAGTAGCCAAGACATAGCCAAATATTGTAGCACCACATCACTAGCAGACATTTGAAATTTACCGACTAGAACGGTCGGTTAACCGATGTGACGGTTAATCGGGGGTCGGATAATCGATCTCTACTGTATATATAAAATATAGCATTGAATACATAAAATTTTTTTATATATAAAAAATATGAACACATAATAATAGATGAAAAAATTAGTATCAAAATGATTTTATGGCACTTCTAGTAGTAGTTCATGGCACTCTGAGAACCACTGTTCCAGATGATTAATTGAATCTCCTAAAAAGCATTACCTTTATTAGAGTAGAATGCAAAATAATACAGATTTCATGATTACATCTTACACAAAAATAATAACTGTAATTTAAATTTAGGTATTTAGTGTTTTTTTATGTTAAATGATGCCAGGAAGATTGTTTTGTTTCGATAGATTACAAATCCTTTTATTCAACAACAAGAATAAAAATATGTATTTGCCGACGAAATAAGTACTTCTTAAATTTTCCATTTGCTAATAAATCATGCATAAATTAGAAATAAATTATCATATTTCTCAAATTACAATCACACTCTGGAATTGTAACAACTTTAGTTTAGAAACACACATAATTAGATAGATATAAAAATAAAAGTACTTTTTGAAGCTGATTAGACATCATGATAGAAAAATACACATTCTAAGATGTCTGCTTTAAAAAAAATACAGAATATTATAAAATTTCTGAAAAATTAAAAATCATAAATAATGCTAAAGTGTATAATAATGTTTTTGCTGCAAAATGTTACTAAATGGACTAAATACAAGTATAGAAATAAAATTGTATTGAAAGTAGCTACTAGAAAGTGCTCACACTACCATACGGCTAAAAATGGTGAAAAATGTGGAAAAATGTAGAAATTTTGTAACTAAACTTATATAAGAATATTAAAAAATTACAATAAAATGGATACACTACTCAAATATCTTGTAAACTGCAGCCAAATTTATTATTAATTTCAAACGTTTTCGGTCATCTTTAATGATCTTTATCAATAATGAATGAAAATTGAATGCTTTTGATTTTTGTTAGTTCTTGATAAAGGTCATTAAAGATGACAAAAAGCGTTTAAAATTGGTAATAAATTTGGCTGCGGTTTATAAGATATTTGAGTAGTGTATCCTTGTTACCAAATGCAGTCTACGGAGCGATTGCAATAAAATTTTATTTATATTATTTTTAATTAAAATAAACAAACAAACATCTGTAAAATAGAAATGTGTCACTTGTATTAAAAATTAAAATAAAGCTCTGTGCTTCTAAAAAATACAGTAATTGATTATTATTAGTTTTCTGTAAGTAAAGGTATGTTTACTGGAAAAAGAAATTTTTATAATTTGTTTTCATAAAGTACAAAATTAATTACTTTGAAATTTAATTATTAAGGAATTTTTTTCTAACATTGAACTGTTTACTCTTTTAAACAGTCTGTCTGGGGTTCGTATTGGTGTGACGGTCTTTGGGGATATAAATGTTGTCATTCGTTCATCAAGAATTCTTACTGCACTGGAAATAGTGGAAAAGAAGCTGCTAAACAGGTAATGCAATTTTTTTATTAATAAAGTAAAATAATTTTTTATAATGCCTATCATATATACTGTACGGTACATTTATTTATATGTCTGCTAAATATTCTGCTTATTCAAATTTGAACAGGAATCTAAAGGAATATTTATATGATCAAATTTTTCGCATCAAAAAATAGAAATCAAGAAAGTTTTGAAAATGATGTTCAACTACACAGTTATAGAGTACTTTTGAGATTTAATAAATGAACGTTGACAAACTTGTCTATACCATGCAATAGATATTTTTAGGTGGCAATACAAGTTATGAGAAGCAACACCATTTAATTGATACACTACTGATGCCATTGTTTCATTTTTATGGCATTTTGAAATATTCAACCAAATACTGTCCTCGACGTGTTTAATTTTTATTTTAACGTTGCATGAGAATGTTTGTACCAATTTTATGAGCTATACCAGATGTTTATTTCGCTTGTAATAATAACTGGAAGCCATATTTCAAAGATTAGACTTTGACCATTACTCAGTTTTCCATATTTTTTGTCCAAATTGCCATTTTGTTACATGACAAAAATGCTTTATCTCGATTGGTTGGAGGTTTTAAGATCTTGAATCTAGTAGTACAACATTTTACTTTAGAATTCTCAAATTCAGAACTTTGAAAAGATAAATTGTCTGCTCCACATTATCAAAGTAGTTTGAATACAATTTTTACATTTCAGAAATTTGATTGAATAGGTGCACCTTAAGAGAAAGTTTCAAAACTATTATTCCTAATTATTTTTTATTGAAACAGAATGTATTTATAAATGAAAATTAGTTATTTAGTTTCGTTTGATTTTTTTCTGTTGTATTGATTTTTGCATCAGCATTATCCATTCTTCTTTCATTATGCCATTTTTAATGGTTATATAAAGAAAAGACACTATTATTGATTTTCTCATCAGTTGATTTTAGATAAATTTTAGAAATTTATGACTTGTATAAAATTAACAAAAATTAGATAATTATAATGGGTTTTTTCTCTCCAAAATATAATATGTAGTTCATAATCTTAGTATAGATAAGAATATTAAAGAAATGAAACTGGTCAATTTTATTTAATCATCATTGGAATTAATTATTCATATATTTCAATTTAAATGAATGAAAATTATTGTAAATTTACTGTTACGGTAGAATTCCAATTATTTGTATGCCAATCATCAAACCTCCATTATCAGGTCATGTTTTTCCCCCAAAATAGTTTTTGACAAATATCCTAGGCCATGAGAATAGTAAATATGTACCCATTGTAACTCCTGTAGACAAAAGGTACTGAACAAAAGTATATGTATTCATGCAAAAGAAGATATATAATTTGGTATCTTGTTACATACATTAAGAATTTCACTTTTGATTCTTTAACAATAATGTCTGAAATATGTTTTTAATTTGAATTAATTATGTAACTGATATTATTCAAGTTTTGTTGCTTGAAAACTTAAAAAATTTTATTTATTTCCAGGCTCCTGCGTGTAGTCATCTTGCCACCGGACAATGGCGATGACTTAAGTCGTTAAGTCGCATTCTGTACGTGACTAGTTTGCAGATTTTTAAGAGAAATACGGCACGAGTTCGTTCACACGTACAAGAAAGAAGAAAGAAAAAAAAAACTTTTATGTTATTGTTAATATGTAAAATACCGAGTACGTTTCTGCTCGTAGTAACGTATTTAAAACACGTTTGATATGTTAATCTTTCGGGAAATTGTGGAAATTCTTATCTCGAGTTTACGTTTATGTTCACTAAAGCATAATCTTTAAACATTAATTTAATAAAATAAAATTTTAAAAAAGTCGAATTTATTTATTTAAAAAATTTTAAAATTAATCTCCGAATTTATTTCATTATTTTAAAAATAGTTATGATTATTTTAAAATAAATAACTTAAAAATTAAAGCGAAATGTCACAATTCGGAAACTATACTTCCGCACCTCTTACACAAAAAGGTGAGCCAAAAGGTTAATGGTGATTAACTTTTAACGAGTATAATTAAGTTTAGAAGACGTAAAACTTAATTAAAGCAGATGAAAAAGCTCGCGTGATCCCTTAAGCATTTGATAGAAATACCTGATAAGAGCCAGTAGATCATCGTCATCATCCATACCTGAGTACACATCATCGAGGGTATTTCAGAGCGCGTGAGAAGGTGTAACGATAGAAGTGATTTAAACGCGATATCACACTTTTCTTTATACCTTTATGATAAACTGACATGGATATTGTATATCTGAATATATCCTAACGCGTGTATCATCTTCCACCGAGGGGTAGAAGAGCACTTACCCTATGCTGTAGCATTCGGAGAGATGGCAAATTGCTGTGATGATGATAAGACTTGCTGCAAAAAAGTGAAGGCGTCGAGACCGATAAGCCCACAAACAAGGGACCATCATTGTTTTTGAAAATTTGGTCAGGTGGATGGAACCATTGTTCGTACCGACAACTCGGTACCAATAATTTATCCATGCAACGGTGCTTCTTATATGTTGACGTCAAAATTTCTTGTTGTTAATGTTAAATTTAGAAAGGGGATGCGTTTATATGTGTACTCGCTGCTCCGAAACATCTAAAAAACGCTGCATCCCGCTGTTCTCAGAAGGCATTACTGTTACTTACTCCAAGAATCGTCACGAATGCTCGAAAGTTTTGCCAATGTTTGGCATGTTGTAGCTCTGTATCGATCGTGATTTTTGGGGTTTTCCAATGATGGGATCTTCTAGGGGCGACAACGTGTCGTGAATGAGTTAAATATGAATTTTTTCATTAAAATTCCTTAAAAAATGACAAAAATCGTACTCGAGGTGAGTGATGTTGCGTGGTCGAAACTGATGATGATCATCTGCTGTTTTTAGAAAATGCTTTAGTAATTCTTTATTTTTTCGATTTAATTTATATATTTTTTATTTTTTAACAGTTTTTTTATGTAGTTTCGACTCATTAATCACTTAAAACTAGAAATATTTAGCTCTACCTACACACTTTAACTATCAATCAAAATCTTCGAAAGATATTTATGAGCTTGTAAATTTATTTATTTATTTATTTTTTAATGGATTATAAAACAATAAACAACCGGTCGAGAAATTGTTTGTGGCAGGTCATGTGAGCGAATAATTCGGAGGTGTTTTTTATTATATACCTTTTGGGTCACGTGATGTAGAAGTCTCTCCAACTGGCCACACTTACTTTACGAATTTATTTCTGTACTTACAAGAAAAGACTACGGCTTCGGGGTGACGGATTTTGATAATTTTTGGTGTAGACGTAGTACACCATGTGAGTGTACTACCTGTAAAATACTAAAGTGCAATACTCAAATATAATCGAAAAAAACGAACTTAAAGTTTTTAAGCACTTTATATATAAATTATACGTGCTTTTATTCAAGCGTCCTGTGGCTGAGTGAAAGAACCGGTTCGACCGCCGTGTGAGCAGGACATATAATGTCGCGCTCGTGAACTGTGGAACCTCAAAGTTTAAGTGGCGAAAGCCGCCGTTCTTTATCAGATTCGGATTTACTGCGTATACTAAATTTATCAAACGATACCGACTGGAAGAATATTTTACTTTTAATTGTCGAAACTGGAAGTGGACCGTACGATCTACAAGACTTTCTTCCAGGATTGAATGGAGTCATAGACTTGAAGGACATTGTTAATTTCGGGGCTAGTGTGATTACGCACGTTTTTACCATCGGATTGAAGACTGAAAGTGCTGCAAATTCTTTTTTGAGTTTATATGAAATTAGAGTTAAAGGTAAGAGATGTCGAATAATACCTATAGAAAACAGAAAAGTCGTAATTAACGTTCATTGGCAACCTCCAGTTCTATCGCATGACTTAGTTAATAGGCATTTTATAAATTACGGAAGAGTTTTAAAGACGGAGTTTGTGAAATCGAATGTATTAGGTCTCGAGCATGTGCTTACGAATAAACGTAGAATCTGGCTGGAACTTAAGCAAGGAATTTCTATTGAGAATCTACCATACTTCATAAGGGTTAAGGGCATGACCGGCTCGGTAGTGATAACTGGCAGACCGTTACTATGCTATCGTTGCAAAGCTTTTGGTCATATTAGACGTAATTGTATCGCAGAAAAATGTGAAAAATGTTATAGATTCGGGCACTTAACCGAAACATGTCTAGGAAAAACGGCCGCGTCGGTCGTTGCTACAAGTAGCACGTGGTCCGATATTGTAGACAAAGAGCTCGAGAACAATAAAGTAGCACATGAAGAAAATACACCGTCGTTACCAGTAACGGTTAAGCCCGCGGCGGTTACTATTGTCGAAAAGAACAAAAGCGATAAAGTTTCGAGGGATACACTAATTACGGCCGGAGGGCAAAACTCGTCAGGCAGCGATTCCTCACCAGAAAGCACCCCCGACAAACAAAGGAAGAAAAAACGCAGGAGGAAAATTAGATGTACCCCATCGATCAACCTCAATGAGGACAGGGGCAGAAGACAAAATGACATCGTTAAAAAGAGCTTAGATCCTGCAGACCCAGTACTAATTACGAATAAATATGAGGTCTTAAACAGCATAAGCCAGGAGGAAATGCAGTGTGAAAATTCAAAAGAAAGCGAAGATCCTTACTCAGAGGAGCGTGGAATCATACAAATAAATAGTTCTAACCAAGAAGTAATGATTGTTCCACCACGATGCGAAACAAATTATGCCCATGTCAAAACAAATGAACCTGAAGTAATGATTGTACCTCCTAATTTCAATAATGGCCCTGAGGATTAAGATGATAACGTTAAATGTTAACGGTTTAAATAATGCCAACAAACAAGAGCTTTTAATTAATTACCTTTTATCTTCGAATATTGACATAGCTTTACTACAGGAAACAAAACTAGTTAAAAATTGGAATTTCGATGTGCTATGTCGTAAATTAGATAAATACTTCAAAAGTGTATGGTCACATGGAGATATTGGTAGCAG